GCACGCCCAACTCCCACGGAAGCAGACAAGAAAGAACTTACGAAACGAAATCCACATCCCCGGACTGGTAATTCGTGGGCCGCGCCCCACGCAGCGTCTCATCGAACACGACATTCACGCGATCCGCAACCTCCCTCAAATACCCGGGACACGCCTCGTTGCAGTGATCATTCACCCAGACCAGATCATTCTCGACCCAGAACCTATCACCGTGGCGGGGGTCCAAGCCGAGGGCATTGCCGCCGCGGGCCTGCGAGGCGTTGGCGATCCGCACCGAGAGCGGCTGCGGCGTGAACGTGCCGATCTGAATATCGAGGTCCCGGGAGGAGTCATTCCGGATCATGGACTGGTATGTCGACCAGTGCGCCTCCAGCAGGGAGGACATATTCTTGGGGTCGAGGTTGGGGAAGGTGTTCACGCGCGCCGCGGCCTTGATCCCGTAGATCTTGGCCCCGCCGGCCTCGTTGGTCAGCTCGGTGTAAGTGGTTGTCTTGGTGCCGTCGATCAGCGCCTCGATCTTTTCCAGTCCCGCGAAAGCGCCCGCGCTGGGTGTGCGGCCGTCGTAGAAGAAGAACAGCATCGGGTTCGAGATGAGGGCCCCCGGCAGCCCGAAGTCGAAGGTCGGGATCACCGCCGCTTTGGCGTCCGGGTAGTCGCGGATGAATTGCGCCAGGGCTTCGAAGATGGCGGTGCGTTTGTCGGCGGTGTATACCTTGATCCCGCCCCAGATCCTGCCGTCGTCCCCGAGCGGGTGCGCTTGGAAGGTGAATTTGGTCACGATCCCGAAGCGGTTCCCGCCTCCGCGCAGGGCCCACCACAAGTCTGGGTGGGAGGTGCGGTTTGCGTTGACGATGGTCGCGTTGGGGAGTACCACTTCGTAGTTGACGACGTTGTCGCAGGTTAGGCCCTAGGGTTGAGTTAGTTTGGGTTGATTGGGCGTTCTGACAAGTGAATACTAGTAGTGCAACGGGGTTTTAGGGCAAGGGGCAGTACGTATTGGGCGGAGTAGTAAGACAATCCGCCCCCGAGAGTGAAACCCGCTACTCCGATGTTAGCCAGTCGTCCACCGACCAGCACTTGGTTGGTCCTTTCGGCCACAGCGTAGACATCGCCCCAGCGTGCGCCGGGCCCGACGTCGAAGGTCTGTCCGTCGGGGTTGCGGGTGGTCGAGGAGAGGTTCTCGTGGAAGGAGATCAGCAGGCCACCTTTGGTGCTGGAGAACCCGACGTTGAAGTTGTGGCCGCCGGATTTCAGGGCAAAGGGGGCGTCCGGATGCTGGTTCAGTTGCTGCACCGCAGCAGCCACTTGCTGCGCGTTGGCGGGGAAGAAGGTGCAGGCGGGTCGGTTCTCCGCGTTGACCCCGTTCCAGTACTCGGTCACCGCGTTCGTATAGTAGGATTGATTCCAGAAGGTCTGAAGAGCATCGGGGCCGGTGGGATCCCAGACGGTGTATTGGGGGTAGGTGGTATGCAAGTACTCGCACACGGCTACTGCGTCGCTGTTGGCAGTGCTTGCGGCTAGAGCGGGGAGGGCTGCGGCCAGCAGTAGGGCTACCGAGCGCATTGTGAAGGTATGGATCTGTGAGATCTTGCTCCTGACAACATTCCTGGTGCTGAAAGTGTTGTGCTAAATATCAATGAATCCGACCGTCCTGAAATTGGGGTGGCCACGGCCCTGCTCCGTGTTTATTTCGTATTCCACCAGGGGACGGATCAAACGGGAGATTCACTTCCAGACCCTGCTTGGTTGGCTTCTGACTGGCCAGACCCTTGATAAGGCGAGAATTATAGTCAGGGACCAACGTCCTTTGGTTGATGTCGATCTGCAGCCATGTTCACAAGCAGGGCTTGGCTGCTGGTTTGCCGAGGTGGGAGCGTTTCGGACGGCGGATTTTTGAGGCCTGCCCCTGTAGATCCCCTCTCGCTTAGAATCCTCCTCAATTGGAGTCTGCCCGACAGTTGGTTGACGATTCCTCCGTCTTTCTATTTCCCTGTTTAATCCTTGTCGCGTTACCGCTTGTGCATGCATGTTGCGAATGTTGCATGATATATTCTGTTGGCGAGGGAGGGGCTCGAGTGAGCATTAGCCGGTGCTATTGTCTTTGAAAATATAGTGCTCTTTGAAGCAACACGGAGGACAGCACCCGAAATCCATGGTGTGTCGGCTGTCAAGGCAGATAAGTATTTATTTGAATGATAATGATTCTTGGCTTGGGTGTAGTGATGTAGGGTTACGGCGAAGCCGAAAAAGGCTTAATATTCTTCGATGGCAGTTTGTCATCCAAGGACGCATTCAAGTCGAGGCTTGCCTCTGTAAGACGGCCGACAAACCAAAGCAAGGTTGAATCAATTTGTCTATTCTCTAATCGCTGATGCAACGGCCAAACATACTGGTCTACCACCACGAATACAGCAGCTTTGTCCCCGGGCGGTCGAGAGCAAAGTCCTCCACCGTCCTGTACGTGACGGCAACCTCGCTTTCGGACTGCAGAACGAAGTCCCACGTCGAGACACGATGTTTCTCGCACACCCATCGTCCATCATTGCAGGGACTTGCTCTATCTAGGTCACCACGTGCGCGGGGACACCCTGTCTCCTCGATCTCGATCAGCTTGTCGACCGTCCCCGCCGCCACAATGCCGTCGCAGATACCCTCGCGGCGGGGATACTGTCGGAGCAGCCTCAGCGCTCGACGTCTCACTTGCGGCTCGCGACACCGGACAGCCACCCAGAACAGAGGCTCGACAATCCCGGTCTCGAGAGTGTACGCTGCCTTGGTACGCTGCAGATGGCCATTGCCCCCATCTCCCAGGATCCGCGCGACCCGGTCCACGAGCTCCACACTCTCCGCAAGATGAAGGTCGGCTGCCAACTCGCCGGGAGCGAGGTCAACATGGTAAAAGAGCCCGGCCAGAGTCCGGCGCACCATCAGTAGGTCCACTGCCTTGGAGTTCCGGGCTTCCGCCGGTAACGTCTCCAGAACAATGGCCAATTGTTGGTCCCACGCCTGTAAGAGGTGCAGCTGTGCCTCGCGGTCTGCGAGGGGGATGGGGCGATAACTCGCGCCCCGTTTGTTGAACTTCCACATCAGCCGCATCACACCATTGTAGATCGCTTCGATGGATACGTATGCGTCAAAGAGAGTAAGGAATGTGGCATGCGCATACAGTGGGACCACCTGACGGTCAATCCACGTCGTAGCGTCGTCGCAGGCAAACATATAGGGAATGACCTGGGAGTCGAGGCGAGTAAAGATCAGGACCAGCATACTGGCGGCCACATAGTCTCCGCACACTGTCACTTCTTGGTAGTCGAACTCCCATTCGGAGATGATCTTCAGCCCGTTGCGAATGTGCATGTACGCCTGGTGCTGCTGGCTCTGCAAGACGCACATGGACGAGAAAATCGCACAGGTGGCCAGCACGACGATGCGATCTTCCAGACCTAGAACGGGCTTGGAGCACAGTTCCGACAGCGCCTGGATGGATTTGTTGTACTGTTTCATTGCAAATCGCCTACTGCGAATCTCCCGTGCTCCGGGCGCAGTGAAGCGAACATCCTGGCCGACGTAGTCTCGATGCAGGCAGGCCAGAGCGGTCATGCCGTGCCAGAGGGCGGGATAATGGTGGGCGAACCGCAACAACTGATCGGACCAGAATCCGGGGTCAAAGAATTCCGCTAGTGTCGAAGTGGTTACGGACTGGAAGAATGAGAAGTTGTCGAGTTCGGTGGAGTCGTCGGAGATGAAGTCCCAGGCGGAGGGCATTCGCATCACTGGTGGCGTGCGGATCGGCTCGTACCCGTCGCAGCGGCGTCCAGTCGACACGCACTTCTGACAACTATTGACACGCTGGGTGTCAGACGAGATGTGTGCAATAGGATTGATGTGTCTGCGACTCTGTACTCCTCACCTTGGCTTGGCCTCATCACACTTGATGCGACGGATTCTGTCAACGGTTAGCCTACGTGGCATATGCGACTCGGACTGTCCGGGACTATCCGGTTCGGTGGGCCGTACTTGCAGGTTATACAGCCCGTTCTCACTCGCGGAAACCATCTTTTCTGTCTTGGTTTGCCGTTTCTGACCGTGGGTTTGGCTACTGTAGAAGGATCCATGAGCTGGCTTGTCTGATCATCAGAGTGGTCAGGTTGTAGAAGAGGAATCACGAGTCTGAGGGCGACGCGGAGAGATATCGGTCGGCATCACGTGAATTGACCCGGAGAGCTAAAACGGTCCTTTGTTTCGCGGCGAGCTGATAGTTGATGAGTTATAGCGGTGATATTCCTTCACTAAACCCATTAGTGTGCAGTACTAATGGTGACGGCGTCCGATTAGCGGGTGAAGCCGTCGCCGCAAGGCTGGCTACCTCCTCCATGCTTATGATTGGGCGGTGGGTGGATGCCTGAGAATGAGAATAGGGGTGAGCATGCATTGGAGTGAGAAACTCGGGCTGATCATGAGTCTGGCACTTCGAATTTGTTGATGGTCTTCCTTGGGAGTTGAAGTGGGTAAGATACTGCAGTGCTATAGTGCTAGTGAGGACATTCGAATGAGGCCAGCAACCACCGATTCAGATGCTGGTGGTCGGCATGGATTCTTGGTGTGATTTCTTCTGTGGCTAGAGTGATCATATAGAAGACGAAGAAGTTTACAGCAGGATGCAGAGATTGCCAGGTTGCAAAGCAGTGCATCCTGTCGCTTATATGTGAGCTTGTTCGTGGTATTTGATCTAGTGGGGGTAGGGGTAGTCCGGTGTGAAATGGTAGGGAAAGCCAAAGCCTCCGAGGTCGGCTCCGATCGGCGCTCGGTCCCGCGCCCGTAACACCCTCTCTGATTGGCCACATCGTCAGTTCTTACGCTCGTACCGTTTGGGTATAGCCTCATCGTGGAGCTTGGTGCCAGAACAATGAGTATAAAACCCTGGGTTTGAGACTGAGAAAGTGTTCAAAACAGCTCATTCCTGGCCTCAACTCATCATCACCATCATCATTATCACCATCATGACTATCTCTACCGACTATACCCTACCAATCGACTCTTGGGTCGTGGTGACGGGAGCCAACGGCTACATCGCCTCCCAGGTGATCAACGCTTTTCTCGCCAAAGGCTATAAAGTGCGAGGCACTGTACGCTCGGAGAAGCCATGGCTTGTCGAGGGCTTTCAATCCAAGTACGGCCCCGGCAGGTTCGAAACCGCGATCGTTCCCCGACTGGAAGATGAAGGGGCTCTGGATGTCGTGGTGCAAGATGCAGGTGGTATTGTCCACGTGGTAGGCATATCTGCCAGCTCCTACTCTTCGTGTCAGCAATGAGACTTAGATCTTCTTGAACAAGGCTTCCGACATGTCTTATCGCCCCCACCCAAACGATGTGATCCCCGGGGTAGTCGCAGCGACAATGAACGTCTTGACCGCCGCGCAAAAGGCGCCATCCATCAAACGAGTGATTCTTACCTCTTCCGTGAATGCAGCATGTCTTGCAATGGATGATGCATTTGGATCGCCAAGCAAGACTGTGGACCAGAGTGAGCATCATCTTTCATGTTGGACAGCTTGCAGCTCTTTCGCTAACAATGGATAGGCACTTGGAACGATGCTGCAGTAGCGGCTGCCTGGGACTCCGACACTCCAGAACATATGAAGCCCAGCACTGTGTACACTGCCGCCAAGGCCACCGCTGAGCGCAACGCGTGGAACTGGATGAAGGAGCACAAGCCGCATTTCACCTTGAACACGGTTCTTCCAAACATAAATGTATGTTCATCTAACCAAATCAATTTCGGATTCTGACGCTTCTAGTTCGGCACAATCCTATTCCCTGAGCATCAAGGCACGTCGATGCGCCTCACTCGTACTTTGCTCGATGGAAGTGATTTTGTCATGAAGATAATCCCACCACGTAAGAACTCCCGGTGCCTATCTTATCATACTAAGACTGTGCAGCTAACGGGTTATCTCTAGATTGGTATGTTGACGTGGAGGACACGGCGCGTCTCCATGTCATTGCATTGCTCGACCCTGCCGTGCAATCCGAGCGCATCTTCGCGGCCGCAGCCCCGTACAACTGGGCGGAGGTGTTGACGATTCTCCGAGAGCTACGGCCTGAGAATAACCAAATCCCCGATGCCTACGATCCAGTGAAGGAGAAATTTGACCTTGTGCCCTCCAAGCGCGCTGAGGAATTACTGCAAAGCTTCTATGGCAAGCCTGGGTGGACTTCACTGAGGGAATCTTTGGTTAACGGTATTGAGGGATACTGATGATCTGACACCTGTCTATGGGGGCATTCTGCGAAGCTGCCAAGACGTGTTGTCCCCGACAGCTCAAGATATCACGTGTTCTCCAACAACAAACAGGGACAGAGGCGTAGATTGAGCTGAAGTGAGTTGAGGGAATCCTTCAATCGATTGCTTGTTAGGTATCAAGCCAGCCTTTGTGTGACTCTTCTGTGCAGACAAAGACAAATGCAGGGATTCCAACGCATCAAAAAACTTTTGATTCGCTGCTCATTGTGTATCCAGGTTACTATTGTTACTTGCTTGATCTTCCTTTGTAAGTTGAGGATAGTATCCTATTGTTACTTAGTATACCATAGGGGCTACTAAAGAATATTAGGTGGAAAGGCAGCGCCGACAAAGAAAGGTAGTATTAGATGAGTTGCCTCATCTCGATCTCGGTGGTCTATTTAAACCCATGTAAGATTTCTTCTCAAGGCAATTGTCAACACCCGGCGAACGATGCTTGACAAGCCGAGACAGACCACAGTCATAATCCGACCTAGTAAGAATCGCTCGTGTACCACCTACCGAAATGAAGTTCGAAACCCCAACAGTCGATCGGGAGAGCTATATCCCACTCCCACTGCAGGAGAACAGGACCTTCGGAATGTTCCCGACCAAGAAAACCTGTTTGGACCAGAAGGTGACCGTGCGTGTTGCTATGTGGTGCTTTCTGGTCCTCCAGATTATCTTGTGGTTTATCCAAAAGTTGATCATGAGCTACTGGTACCGAGGCTACGACTGGTATAAAAGTTCCGAGATCGGCTGTTACTACCAGGATCGGGGACTGCTGCTTCTTGCCTCGCTATTCGCGAGCCTGGGCTTTTATCTCTGGTCGACCTACCCCTACCGTCCCAATTTCACTGTCGGTGGGTCGATCAAGATGTTCTTTCTGGGATCGGCCTTTGTCTATCTCCTGGTGAATGTCGCCTCGTGGTTTGAGGATAACTTTTGAGAGCTTGCCCTTCTGGTTTGAAGCAAACGGTCTTCTAGTTCTGTACTTCAGCTGAGCCTCCTGAGAAGGGCGTCGCCACGCTTTCCAGGTAAGCAGTGATAAGCAGCCTTTATAGCTTAATGCCACCATCTAATTATATAACCTATTATCTTAATTCTGATCTGCTCGTAAATCTATAAACAACATAAAATCTACTTAGCAATTCTGTCTGGCACGCAGAGATGCTAAATAGCCCTAAGTTCATAGGTCCCAAGTATTGACGCCCTACCCGACCGCACAAATAGAGTGATTTCTACCGTTCAGCTGTGCCTCACAACCCTTATATGGATATTATTGTAATACAACAAAAAGGGTACGATGACAAGCCTAATTGACTTGCTTGACGAGAATGTCTCTCTAGGTTACGCAATCATGTAGCGCAAACTAGGCTTGGTTTAGTGCTGGGCTGAGATTGTAGCATTCGATACTTCACCAGTCGAGGATCCTTCGACTAGCTCAAGCAGCCTCATTCTCGTAAAGAAAGGTTACAGCATGTCAAGCGATCAATTTATGCCTACAAAATACCCTGGATTGGTCATGCACCACAATTTTCGCAATCCGCTGATGCTAAATAGTTAATGAAACACAGACATTTGTTAGCCTCTACCACATCGCACATAGCATTCATCCACAACCACAAGCAAACCCTTGATTTCATGCAGTCTTCTCCAAAGCCTCACGTCTTCCGGTGCTGCTCGGATCCAAATACGGCTTCTCCCCCAACCCCACCACACGCTGCCCAGTGCGTGGGCCGAAATCCTCGTGGTCTGGGGTAGCCGCATGGTACACGCTGCGGTTATCCCAAATCGCTGTGCATGTGAACCTTGTTAGCGACTTCTCCTCCTTTAACATCAAAGGAAGGATCCGAAGGCAGCATCTTACCCAAATCATTCGGATTCTGCCACCGCAACCGAACCTGGAGATCATGATTCTCGACAATCAATTTCACAAACCAGTCCAGCAGATGGCGACTCTCTTCCTCAGTCAACCCATCAATCTTCTGCACATGGTGGCCCACGGCAAACACACTCTTCCATCCCGTCACCGGATTGGTGCGGATCACCGGGTGGGTGGCCTGCAGGACCTCGCCGACGTTCTCGGGGGCGCCCCGCGGGCCCACGAACACATCAAAACCGTTATTCTTGGCGATCTCGTTGAACCCGGGTTGCGCGTAGGTGGCGGTGAGTCCCTCGAGGAATTTCTGGTAAGGCTCGGAGATGCGATCGTACAGCTCGTAGCCGGAGGCCCAGAGGGTGTCTGTCAAGTCGTGGTCAGTCTCGTGTGGTGGATTCAAGCAAGCAGCTCATCCGATTCAGGGCTAGGTTTTACTCACCCCCACCCGTCGTCGGCAACTCCGTCAGCCGCAAGATCGTATAGTCGCTCGGAATCGGCTCGAAGGTGATATCACTGTGCCACTCGCGCTTGTTGCTCTGGCGCTTCTCGAACCCCTTGAACAGCTTCTGGCGCGCCCGCGAGCTGATCACGCTGATCTCGTTGTCCTTGTCGCCGTGCTCCCGGCTTGCGTTGATGATCGGGTGGACGTGCAGTCCCGAGGTGGAGGGCTTGCCGGAGAGTTGGCCCAGGCGCTGCACGAGTTCCTTTTGGAGGTCGTTGTCGAGGTCGTCTTGTTTGCGGAAGAAGACCACGCCGCGCTGGGATACTGTCTCATCTTTTGGTTAACAAGCGATTCAAGGAGGGTTTTCCATAGATGTGAGGATCCTGTACCGGTGAGGGCGAGCTCTCGCAGGAGATCATCAGAGTTCGGGGCGCGCAGCCAATCTTTCAGGTTCGCGTTGCTGAACTCGCGACCGATAATGGGGGTCACGTCGAAGGAGTCGTAGGCGTCGAGTGCGCCGGTCGCTTGGACAGGTTCTCTTTGTGATGCCTTGGTGGGGATTGGAACGACATGGGCGGCCGTTTCGGTCAGAGATGGAGCCATGGTAGGAAGAAGAACACCTTTTTGTTGGATTCGGATGTGATCTGGTTGATTGAGTAAGTTGAGTATACTTGCATGAGGTGAGGACGATGACTTCTTATATCCCAGTGCCTCTTCTGACCTTATCTTCTGAGACTCTCGCTATACTGCCTACAAACTCTAGGACATAGCACCCGTACCCCGCAGAAGTTCGTATGTCGCTGCATTATCGGGACCTGCTTATCAGCTTGGCTTTGTGTAACGTTGCCGATACTTGATCCTGAGTTGCTGAAAGCGACGTGATTGAAGCTGCGGATAATGCCATATTCCGCCATGCACGGCTTATCGCCGACTTCCGGTGAGCCCATACGAGGGGTTGGTCACGCAAATGCCGGTCTCGAATCAGGTATATGTCAGCCGTTTTACCAAGGTACAGTTAGTACTTCCTTTGTTATCACCTTGTCCGACCTATTCTCTGCTTGTTGCTGGTCTCGGTTATGCTACTCCCTTGTTCCGCGTATGTCGGCTATCACAGAAGTCGATTATCTATGATCGCAATGGTCTTCTTTAGGTGCAGTGTGTGGGCCTAGGAATGAATGGAAAAAAAACAATGGCGTGAGGCTGTTTGAGTGGATTTTTCCCGGGTTTTTATATGCTACTGCAATCTTTCTATACCCGAAAAAATGAATATAAGAGCACCAACAACAAGACACTGCTTACCACAGTTTATGTGTCACTGATACTCCAGTCATAGGAAATAGTATTCTATGCTCTGAATAGTCTATCCAATTCATAAACCGGATCAGTAGGTCTTATAATCCTGAGCATAATTGACTCTTTCGGCTTCTCTGATCTCCCTCCACGGAGCCCAGCTCTGCCCCGACTACAAACTGTCTGCTCTTTCTATTAGTGACATGAATCCGTCGTCTACTCCCTAAGCTTGCGAGCTAAACTCACTATATTATGCAATCCTCTGGTAGCTTGTGAAAGAGTATTCAATCACGCTACATCTCGAAGCTTCTCAAATCCATAGTCTATCATCCTAATTCCACTCTGCTTATACTTGTAAAAATATAAATAATATAAAAATCCATAAGCAATCCTGTCTGGCACGCAAAGATACTAAATAGCTCTAATGTCGGGAATCCCACATGTTGACGCCCTCCCCGAGCGCACCAATAGAGTGGGTGAGAAAACTGTCACTGGCCCACCGTTGAGACCCATATCATCTCGTCTTTAACGACTTTACCTATTAGGTGACCTCCGTTCCTTGTTGTCTCCGAGCTTAACGCCGAGCCCTTCAGCCAGCTTTGCGGCAGTGTTGCATGGATCCACATCTACTGCTGTGCTAACAAACCTACTAGTTAACTTATAGGTATGAGTCTCTGTGTTCATTGGTTTGATGGGTGATGTGTCTCCATCCTGGGTGGGTCATATCTCACAGAATATGCGTTTGCCAGAATTCCTTCAGATGGCAGCGCGATCATTCAACACACCCGTAAGCTCAGCCTGACGGCCGGATGGTCAGCCAGCCAGCCAGCCTTTGCCGAGATGTCAGATTTCTTGCTCATTTCTTGCTCCGACTGCTATAAGAATGAGCGTATCGCACGCACTGCATGGAGATATTTTTCGAACACCCATCCTCCTCTCACTACCCAACATCACACTACATACTATCCTCCCTATCGTCTTCCGATCCCCTAGCATTCAAGATGACGACCCCCAACCGCGGAATCTCCCTCCACATCACCATCCACATCGATCCGGCGAACCTGCCCAAATTCTGGGAAGCTTTCCAGCCAGTGTACGACAATGTCATCGCGGAGCCCGAGTGTACCTTTTTCGAGGTCTACCAGTCCCCGGAGGAGCCGGGCACTGTATCCTGGGTGGAGAATTGGTATGTCTATTTTTCCCTTGCCTTCATCTGGTGTCAGGACTTTTCGGGTGCCGCAATATTTCTGAACATGAGACTTACTCACCGTCTGCAGGTCACAAACTCCCGAATGGCTTTTTAAGGTAAACCGGCAATCTTCCCTCGGGTGAGATCACTACGTCGCTAACACTTCATTTAGGTGCAAATACAGAAACCCTACTACAAGGACTATCTGGCGATCACTGAGCCGATGTTCATCAAGCCCCGCGAAGCGAAGATCCTCAACCGGGTGGGGGCGCCTTATTTGATGGTTAAGTCTACGAATCAGGTCTAGATATCATGAATTGAATTCATGCCTTGGCTTTTAGACCAAGGGCTTCACATCTTGTATTGTCTCTTTTCTGTGGTTCTAAATATACTCTAAGAGATAGGTCTCGTCTCTTGCAGCAGGGAAAGAAGACGGGAGAAATTGTAAAAAATGAATTACAATCCTTCACGGATGTCCTTCAGACATGTAGCCGGCGGTACCTCAGTCATCGAGGTACAGCATATTGGAAGAGGCTACATCGGCGGTAGCACCCCGGCCTCGAGAGCCTTCAAGTAAGCGTCGGCTAACTCGGTCGTAATCTCCTCTTCGTCTCCGTTCTCTACACTGTCATCCACTTTCCCACTAGCTATCCACGGCTTGAGGAAGTCTTTGACCTCCTTCAACACGGCCCCGACGAATGCCCAATCCCGTGAGTGGGCATGCATGATTCTGCTCTGCTCATCCAGCTTCCGTCCCATCACATTCTCAATCATCCGCTTCAGCCCCGGCGTCCCGGGCACCGAAAGGTCCCAGCAAAGTCGCAGCTCGTCGCCGACCACCACCGCTCCAACGGCTGGAGGGCGGGATTCCCCGGGGGTGTGGCGCGCCCAGTGGCAGCGGAGGATCTCGACACAGCGGGTTTGCAAGGTCTTTTGGAAATCTGGCGTTGCTGCTTGCGGCCAGGCAATGGGTGCGGCAATCAGGATCGTGAAGAAAGCCACCCCTTTAGTATTAGAGGCCGTGAGTACTTGGAAGAAGATGGGAGCTTCGCAGTTTTTGGCGGATGGGGAAGTGGGTGTGATCGGCGTCGCGGAAATTTGAAAGCTTTGCTCTTCGGGAAAGTAGTTGGCAAGGATGGGAGTCAATATGGCTGCGAGGGCCTCGATGTGTTGGGTGGCCATATTTGCGGAGTGTATTTTCTGTGCAGTAGTGCTGTGTGTTGGCTGATTGGGGTCTTCGGAGATATAGTGTTGATTGTTGGGTGTTATGTTGGTAAGGGTTGAGATTCAGGGGGGTGCCTTGCTAAGGGAAAAGAGAATCTCTACGGTTCAGGAGCGTGATTTTATAAGCCAGCCAGTTCGACATCAGTGTGTCGACACCAGGTCCGTGAAAAATATTTCCTGGGGTGTTTTTGGTGATATCTTCCGGTTAAGCTGAACAATCTCCTTGTCACTACCTTCGACACAAAGGACTTAACCTGAGTTGCCCACCACTGAGGCCCATTACCCTCTGTTCTTCTCAACAGAGAGGAGATAACCCGCAGGATGAAAGAAAATCCCCTAAAGCTTTTTTTTAACCAGAATCACTGCTTTCCACTGGCCTCGAACGAAAGAAGAAAATTCGTTTTGAGTCATGCCTGCATTTACTTCAGCTGGACCTCAGCAATGTCTCAAATAATTGCATTGTCCTAGTTGTTCATTCAGTTTCAGCTTCAGACCAATCATTCGTCAAAGAGTCCATTTGGTGACAGAAAAGAGCTCCGAGTCACCATCTCCGCGAAATCCCACATCGGCATGCGCGATGAGATTTCCGTAGTCTGAACATTCGAGTATAGATGGCTACTAACCCATTCCATAATTCCACTGCAGCCAACTAATAAGTCCCCAGGTCGGATAGCGAGCGACATTACTTAATCTTTTCAACGGCATGCTTGACAGCTTGACAGGCTTATGGTTCAACAATCCTCGGATATTTTCACACGCTTTCCGTGCGAATTTCAGATTTGGTGACAAGTGCTCAGTCTTCAATTTGTTCTGGCATTAAGTGGACCACAGGCCCGTGGGGCGTAAGCTTTGACGCCATCATATGGCTAGAATTGGGGTCGTGAACGACCGATGCATGATCCTTTTTGGCGCGAAGCAGAGTGTAGCGAAATGCAAGGGCTATCTGGCTTGGCCCCGGGGTTTCGGGCGGGTGTCGGATGATGTGCTCGAAGAGATCTACAATTTCCGCGAGCTCGATGCCCTCAAAGCTCTGCACTGATAGAAGGTGGCGTAGCCTGGGCGTTTCTGTCAACGTATCCTGCCGGCAGATTCATACCTAGATCTATGGATACGGTGGGCGAGACATGTTGCTGCCGAACGGCTCTACTTGACAGTATCGCTGGACCTGACATCTTACTATATGTTATTTCCATGTGTTCTCCTCTCTCCCACTAGCTCTGCAGATAAACTTTCGACAATGTATGCGCTAAATCATATCTCAGCGATGCTACAATTCTCACAGCTCCGCATCCTCCAAGATCATCGGAGAATCGGTCTTCTCATTACACCTAGTATTCTCCGGGCAACTCAAACCCGATGACGATACTCCTTCTTCAACGGCGCAATCCCCAAGCGGATATCATACGACTCGGGCTCAAACGACCCAAAGTCATAGATCATGTAGAAGTTCTGCATCCAATGCTGCCCGAAGATAGTGTTGAAGCTGTTCCAGGCGTTGAACGGAGGGAAGCAGTGGTCATCATCCTGGTAGCCGGGCACCGCCAACTGGTCACCGGTGAGAGTGAAGGTGGGCGCCTCGCCATAGAATCCGATAGTGAAGGAGACAGACCAGGTCTTGTTGAACTCGGAACACAGCGGCCGATACCCATTGAGGAGATCCGAGTACTTGAATGGAGTCATCGCGTAGACCTCGTCGATGTATTGTTCGGGGATTTCGATCGATGAAGCTCCTTCACATTGAGATTGGATTATCAGATGAGGTCCCTGTTCCTTGCGGAGAATGTTTCTTACCAGTATCGAAGATGGCAGTCCCGTACCAGTTGAGCAGCTCACTGGATTGATTCTTGCCGTCGCTGGTGGTGTTGTGGCCCTGCATGCCGTACAGCCCCGTCTTGAAGATCTCAAAGGGCGACTCGGTCTGGAGCCACTGCAGCTCGCCGTCGGCGTAGATGTCCTCGTGACTTCCGCCCAGCGTGAAGACGCCGTTGTTCTCGGGGTTGGGCTCGGATGTGGTGGAGACGCCCTTGCCCGCGTAGATGGCGAACCGGGGCTGGTCCAGCAGTCCGTCCTGCATCATCTGCTCGAAGGGGGCGGTCGCGTTGTTGATCGCGATCGTCGAGGAGCCGAGACCCAGGAACCCATCGGCGCCCAGCGCAGCCCAGGTGCTGTCGGTGGCGACGAGGAAGGACTGCCGATAGGAGACGTTGGTTCCGGGGATGCTGAGGATGTCGGACGCACTGTAGCCCTCAACGGTACCTCCGCTGTATTCGATGGAGCCATTGAGGCCGAGGTTCTCGCCTGTAGATGTGAGGTTGTATTTGTGGCGGGGATATCTTGCGGTCGGCGTGAGCTTCGGATATCAAAAGATCGGAAGATGGGTGTAACTATACCCGCTCCCGTTGGGACAATTCTCGTCGGTACACTTGCCGTCCAGCACCCAGAGGTCCGTTGACCCGGTGTCATAGAGCAGATCATAAGGGCCACCGGGGGTGCCCAGGTCTACCTCAATGGTTCTCTGTAAATGAGTCAGGAGCATGAACCGCCATTCTCATTTGAGCAGGAACTTACATAGCCATTGCGGACCTTGATATCGAGATCGATGACGCTGCCTACAGATGCGGTGGCCAGTACTGGTGCAAGAAAAAGGGATCGCAAGACCATGTTGAATTGTAAACGCTTCAATTGTGGTAAGACTTGTTGAAGAATGTAGATCTTTTCCGGGCCTTAAGTAGGGCATCAGGGGCGGCAGTCCCGGAGTCCCCAATGCCAAGTCTTCTAGAATAATGTGAGACAATCGGCGGGTGGTGGAGATTCCAGGCCCTGAAGGACAAATAAGCTACTCTGTGTGGAATGAGTTTGAAACCGCTTGTCTCAATGTTCTATTTCTGTGCCTTGCGAACCCACTTCCCTGCCCTGCTTGCCTCTTTACCTCGGCCAAGCACCGCAGTAGTTAGAGCTTGTCGTCCCTTTCTTCATCGGTAGCCAGGGTTTCTACACTCAAACTAATCTATCAATGAGGGGCAGAACTAAAAAGACGACAGATGAGTGTCGAGCGATGTAGTTGTGATCTCTATTTGGCTCCGGGATCGGAGTCATTTCTGGCCTGGGACGTGGTCAGCCTCAGCTACTTGAGTAGCCAGCTGAGGGCGGCATAATTGCATAGCATAAGGGATTTCATACCGACGGTCAGCATGAGTACCACACAGTGCAACAGTCACCATTCATCAATCATCATCAATCCGTTGATCACAATCAAAAAATCTGAAGCCCGGGTTTGTAAACCCATCGGAAACCCAGTTCCGTTGATGCGGGGAAATTCCTCGGTTTAAAGACGCTACTCACCACCACCCATGGACAGCAGGAATCAACCGTTAACATATACTTCATAACCACCAGTTACAATGTTGGCCAACAAGCAAGCCATTGGCTCCAAGTCCTTGGGTCAGCATCCCAGTCACACCCTCGACCAAAAGATCCTGGTCGCATCGCGGCAGGGCTTCACCGGCATCGAGGTCGTGTACTCCGATCTCGCCGACTTTGCGCAACATCTCAACATCTCCATCCACGAAGCGGCCAAAGTAACAAGAGATCTCTGCGTGGAGCACCGAGTCGAAATCATCTCCCTGGCGCCCTTTGAAAATTTCGAGGGTGGCAGCTTGCCCTTATCCGAGCGACTCGCTACCGCTAAGCACTGGTTGCAGCTGGCGCGCACCCTCCAGGCAACCTATCTTCAGGTCCCCTCATACTACAACCCCGACGGCAGCACGGACGAGAAGGTGGTCGTATCCGATCTACAGCAACTGGCGGATCTCGCCAGTGCCGAGCAGCCAGTCATCTCCGTTGCGTACGAGTACCTCTCGTGGGGGGTCCTCTGCTCCACCTGGGAGACAGCCCTTCGTATTGTAAACGCGGTGGACCGACCGAACTTTGGCTTGTGCCTCGATAACTTCCACGAGCATACCAAGCTATGGGGCAGTAATACGGACAAGTCAGGAAAGCTCCCGACGGGCGATCGGGATCTGGAGGCGTCTCTAAAGCGGTTCAGTGAGCAGTGCCCTCTGGAGAAGATCTTCTATGTGCAATTGTCCGATGCGGAGCGCTTCGACCCGCCGCTGTCGGAGGCGCATCCGTGGTACCTGCAGGGTGAGGCCCCTCAATTCACCTGGTCGAAGCATGCGAGGCCTTTTCCAATGGAGGCGGAGCTGGGTGGTTATCTCCCTATTTTAGAGACTGTCAAGACGTGGGTTGTGGATAAGGGATTCAAGGGATGGGTTTCGATGGAGGTGTTTGACTGGCGGATGCGCAGCGCGGAGCACAAGCCGGAGGATGCAGCCAGGCGGGCGAGAGTGTCATGGGAGAAGATCCAGCAGGGACTATCGGGAAAGACGGGAGATGGGCCCCTCAAGGCACATTATTAGAGGCGGGCATCTCTTTTAGTGTTGAATGTTAAATGAGTTAGATGCATGAATTTCTCCATAGTGAAGAGCTTGTTCTTCTGTTGCTTGTCCCGATCAGGCAACTTCGGCCGTTGGAACCACGGAAATCGTGCACGTGACTCGGTTCTATGGGTTTCGGCCGCGTCACCGGAATGCTTCATCTCCGACCTCTTTCTCTCCCCTTCCCTCTCCTCTCACACCACTCACCCTCCTATCAGACTACTCAAATCAACCTCTTATCTTCCCTGTCATCACCTAGGTCTATCACGATGGTCATTGAGGCCCCCAAACCACCCACACTGCGCCGATCCTGCCAAGCCTGCGCCCGTGGCAAACGGCGCTGCGACCAGCGCTGGCCGCGCTGCAGCCGCTGCCAGGCCCGCCGGATTGACTGCGAGTACATCAACGTGCCATTGACAGTCAACGCCTCCTCTTCCACCTCTAGCCTCGCCAAGGCCCGAAGTCTCGTTCACACCACCACTCCCTCCTCCTCCTCCTCCTCCTCGATAACACAAGCCAACATATCCCGCCCCCGCAAACCAAGACCATATACCACCACCCCGACGATCCCCCCACCCCTGCCCCCCCTGGAGATCACCAAAGGCTACTCCCCGACCGTGATCTCCTTCCTCATCTCCGGCATGCGCCAATACCCCCTCACCTTCGCCTCCTCCCTCAAAACCCACTTCATCCACCCCGACCTGTGGCCGAGCGCCTCCACCCCACCCCCACCCCTACAAGACATCTACAGCCTGTGTAAACACTATCACTCCTCACTCTTCAGTCCCAGCACCCACCAGCGAAAAGAGATCCAGTCCCTCTTACACCAGAAATCCCGCTCCCTGCACCGCCACCTCACGCGCGCCTCCACCTTCCCCGACCTGCTCGCCAGCGCCCAGGCCCTCCTCCTCATCCAGTGCATCCTCCTCCTGTCCCCGCCGCTCCATGCGTCCGACCCGACTGAGACCCAGCAGCAGCACGACACCGAATACCAGGAGTCCATCAGCGAGATGCTCCTGAACCTGGGGCATCGGCTGTGGGTCCAGGCGCCCGTGCAGCTGCCGGCGACGCTCAGCCCGCGCCGCGCGTGGCTGTTCGCCGAGAGCGTGCGCCGCACGATCATCGTCGGGTTCATGCTGCGCAGCGTGTACTCACTGCGGACGCGGAACTACTCGGTGCGCACGCCGTTCGTGGACGCGTTGCCGTTCGACGTGCGGACGGGGCTGTGGGATACTGCGGACGAGGAAGGGGTTGTCACGGACGAGCTGTGGGGGTCCAGTGAGGGGGCGATGGTCTCGTTACACGGGTATTCGGGCATGTTGGAGCAAGGGCAGGTGCATGGGATCGGGGCGTTCGCCGGGTTGATCCTCGCGGCGTGTCGGGGCAAGCAGGTTGCGGATGTCGCGAGGGGGTTTCCTACGCCTCCGCCTGCTTCTTTGGTAGTGGAGGTGTGAGAGTATACACTATGAGTGAACCATGAACTAAAAGGGAATTCAAAGCCGGCAAGGTACGTCATGTAAGTAAAACAATCAAATTTCTATCTCTAGATGCAAGATACACCAAAAGCAAACATCACATTTCATCTATCATAAAACTAACTTCATCCAATTGCAGAAGTGGCTTTTACTCGCGCAAGAACTGCTTCAACAAACCCGACAACAACTCGGTCATCCCCTTGTACAACTCCTGGCGCTTGACCTCGAAGGCCTGGAAGATCTCGGCGGCGGAGCCGACGGGGATCTGGTCCTCGCCCTTGCCGAGCCGGGCCCAGACCTCGTCCACGAACTCCTGCAGCGGCATGCCGATGAGGTGGCCGTCCTTGAGGTCGGGCTGGTGCTTGGCGTCGTGCAGCTCGGTCTGCACGGCGGGCGGGTAGATCTCCAGCACACGGACGTTGCCGGCGCCCTCCTGCAGCTGCGTGCGCAGCGCCAGGATGAAGTGGTGCAGCGCCGCCTTGGAGGCGCCGTAGTTGGGGCACCGCATCATGGGCACCAGCGCCATCTGCGAGGTCGTGTAGACCAGCGCCGTCGGGCGGGGCTGCTGCAGCAGGTGCGGCAGGAACGCCTTGGTGAGGCGCACCGCCGACGTGTAGTTGGTGATCAGCTCCTGGTCGAAGACGTCCAGGTCCACCGTCTCGGGCTTCGCGAAGTCGAACGGCCGCTGGATGCCGCTGTTCACGAAGATGCAGTCCAGGTCCGGGTGGGCGGCGGTGATGGTGGCGGCGAATTCGGGTATCTTTGCGGGATGGTTAGTGGTTTTTTTGTTCGCTGGGTTGGGAGGGTTGGAGGGGCTCTTACCTTCTCGAGCTGCATCACGTCGAAGACCGCAGAGTCGACCTTGTCGCTGCCGTGCTGGGCGACGAACGCATCCAGGTTCTCCTTGCGGCGGCCAGCCACAACCACGCGGATGCCATTCTCAACCAGCTTGGTGGCTAGGGACTTGCCGATGCCGGAGGTGGCGCCGATGATGAGGACCTTCTGGTAGGGGAAAGACATGATTGTTGTGATGTTTCTTGTGTCAAATGAAGAGAACAAGGAGGAAGGAGGAGAAGAAGAGATAGTAGTGATCACACTAATAGTAACAAGAGCTTGACTGATGAACAACTCTTCCAACCCG